ACAATGAGGGCGTTGCACAATCAAGTGAGGGAGAATGTCACACCCTGAGCGGGTGCTCCAGGCACATCAGGCCCACCAGCACGCAAGCCAGAGGTTGAGGCCCGCACATTAGGCACGCTGGTGGGTATTTATGCATAAGGCCTAGTAGGCAAGGCCAAAATGCCTGCCCAGCTTGCAGGCCAGCCCGTGAGGCCAAGGCATGGCTTGCAGGCTGCTCGCACCACATCCAAAGGGGCCCAAGGTGGGAGATACGCAAGTGAATCTTCTAGAAACTTGTAGGATCAACAGGAGCCTCCTGACAGATTTGGTTGATCGTAGAATTTATGAGTAAGAATCCTAATTGATTATAATCTTTGTAATCTCTTGATTTTAGCCTTTATTCTAGGGATATTACCATTAAGTGTAGCTGAAGCCTGAACTATAACTAGAGGTTGCTTCACCCTTATTTTTGCACCATTAAACACTTCTGTTTCAGTGAATACAGAGCATATTTCCAGCATTCTACCTTGTTATCCTGTTTCTCTTTAATTTGCATAATCAGCCCTTCCCATTGTTCTAGTACCCGCACGCTTGTGTTTTAGGCTAACTTAGACATAAAGGAGGAGATTCCAAGCCTAAGGTCGCACAGATTCTGAGTCTAAGGTCGAAGCCCGTGACTCGGGAACATGGCTCGAGTTGGTGCTGACGGTTGCCTCAACCACCATCGACACGTGTTGGGCCTTGGTGCTGGCATATGCCTCGACCAACATCGACACAAGCCGGCCCTTGGTGCGGGCACTTACCTCGACCACCATCAATAGAAGATGGCCCTTGGTGTGGGCGGTTACGTCGAACACCATCACACATGCTGGGCCTTGGTACGGGCGATTGTCTCGATCACCATCAGTAGAAGATGGCCCCTAGTACACGTAGTTGCCTCGAACACCATCAACACATGCTGGGCCTTGGTGCGAGCAGTTGCCTCAAAAACCATCAGCATGTTCTAGGCCTTGGTGCGGGCACATGCCTCGAGCTGGTGGGGGTGGTTGCCTCGACCACCATTGGCACATGTTGGGCCTTGTTACGGGCACATGCCTCGACCACTATTAGCACAAGCTGACCCTTGGTGCAGGCACTTTCCTCGATCACCATCGGCACATGCCATGCCTCGATTAGCATCGGTAGAAGATGGCCCCTAGTGTGGGCGGTTGCCTTGAACACCATCAGCACATGTTGGGCCTTGGTATGGGCAGATGCCTCGACCACCATCAATGCATGCATGTCTCAATCAGCATGGGCATAAGCTGGAATCGATGTGGGCACCTACCTCGATCAGCATCGACAGAAGATGACGCTTGGTGCAAGTAATCGCATTGAACACCATCGGCACGCGATGGCCCTTGGTATGGGCACATGCCTTGAACAACATCGGCACTTGCTCACCCTCGATACGGGATATGCCTATGTTGGAAAAAATGTCCCCTTTTTAGACACTTTAACATCTACTGGTAGCATATCTATAAAATCTCTAATGCTCTTTAGGTGGTGGTGGTCTGGCACCCCCTCTCCCCTCTACGGGGGGAGTAGTTGTGCATGATATGCCTCTCATTGCATACACCCAAGGCAATGTCCCTCAAATGAAATATAGGGCATGCATGTTTTTCGGCCATTTCATCTGACGATTGGTTACTCTGGTGATCGGCAGACGCTTATGGCCTCGATCGATTAGCGTGCATACGAAAAAAGAGAGCAAAGCTTGAGCTCATGCATGCGACAGATGCTACCCTAGATCGCAGACCAAGTCTTTGAATCAAGCAATGGCTCCCTGGGGTAGTGTAACCAGAAGCTACGATTACGGGCTTGACCCGACCAACTCTCTCAGTATTTGACGGTCTCGCAGTCCCTTCTCATCGACCATAAAAATGCCTTGGCCTCAACGAGGCCGTGCATGCAGCCAATGTAGCCCAAGACCCCAAGAACAAGTCCCCAAATCGAGCAACGTCCCCTGGGATGGTGTCAGCAAAGCTCACGTGTATGGTCTCGGCCAGGTCAAGCATTGGTGGTATCATGCCATTGTTACCTATCGGATGGCAGGGGCAATCTCGTGGCCCTTGCTCGTGTTTTTCTCATACCAAGCGGTTGTGGCGTGGCCTCATACATCATTTCCTCCACTCGCTCATCGAGTAATCGATCAGGTGGGTTATGGATCGGCACGCATGGATGCTGCCACTTGTATGTAATGGGCATATGAGTGGTACTATAGTTATACGTGTTGGCAGGCTTCGTGCTCGATGCATCAAACTGTCGACCCGTCATCCTCTTTAATCTCCCCCTATGCGATCCTCATACCCAGGAGGCGTGATCAGGATCCTGTGTTGCATACCTGAATCGATGGAAACCGAATGTCTTGCCATCCCTCATTTGTCTTATGTCCTGAGGGGCTACGGGTCAGATGTCAATCATGGCCAATGTCCCATGCATGCCACCTAATCCTTCATCACCGCATTGGTTCACCGACGTT